CATTTTCAGCCGGAGCTCGAAAACAAATGATGAGCTTTAACTTCGGAACCAATTGCATAGCATGAAAGATCCGCGAATGAATCTTCGTTGACAAAATTAAGGGGGGCATACATTTTAACGTGGAATACGCGCATCCCCCGTGAAACAACCACATTCTATCACGGCTAACCAGAATTAGAACACCGCCGAGTTTCGCAGCTCAAGACCGCGACATAAGATGCAATACTTGACCAAAGTCACAGGAAACACACTGTGGACCTCATTATCTGTGTGGGCTATATCCATCGTCGTCTTGTAGATACTAAAGCATGTTTTCGCGAAAACTCATTTGAACGTCGAACTCTTTTGTGTAAAATTTTAGAAATGGGCGTATTTTATTCTTAAAATTTCTTTTAAAAATAACTCAAATTGGATCACTGCACGATATGGCTGCTAAATGTTGTCTCTAGCATTCTTGTTGTTAGTATCTCTCCAGTTTGCCTGAAATAATGGTAAGAGACGGAGGCACCTGAGTATTATTGTGACCAGCTAGCACTCTAGTGCTTTCGGCAAATGCGTGTTTTGGCGACTCAAGTAGAACGGCAGGTTGCTAAAAAATCGGGGACTGCGCCGACTTGATGAGCACCAAGAAGGGCGAAACCGGTCGTGAGCGGCCAAAGAGTTTTAAGCAAACTTGTGAGATGCTCCTTTCATGAAAATGTACTGCTATATCTTAAATATCGTGCCAACGGAAACATGAGGAAGCCTGTGTTCAGCACATTCATTTGTAGAATATCATAAACAAGGGCTTGAGTTGAGTCTCTTGTGAAGACCAAATCGATTTGCAGATGAGTGTATTTCTCGTCTACATTTATTGTTTTGTGCAACCAAATTGCCCAGCTCAGCGAACAAGCCAACGTCCATTTATTGTTTTATCCAGTTTTCAAAAAAATATTTTTGTACCACAGCGAAGCATCAACGTTTACCAATGATGTCAAGCTGTTGCCGAACATTATGACGATGGTGATGTTGGTGATGATGTTTGGCCGTGTGGTGAATGTCAAACAAAAGTTAACGGTTGGATCATAAACAAGTCTAGTGGAAAGTTGCACCAGGGGGAAGGAAGAAACGCGCGATACCGTTCTACACAATGCGCACATGAGAAAAATATTAACAATTCTCCTGATTATGGACTTGTAATAATAGTTCACCTAGCAAACAAACCCCACATAACAAGGTTAAACTTCATTCCTGGTGAATTGCTTTTGTAAGTTCCAGTTAGCTTAGGAGCTCAGCATCACTCACTGGTTAAGGATCGAAATTGCTGACTTTGATTTGAATCCCGCCTCGGCATCTAGACTAATCCTAACCAGACTTGGGCGATCCGGCGTTTGCTCAGCCATTGTGTTTACTCCGGGCAATGTTGCGGCTGGGTTCGCGAACGTTGCTGCGGCTGATTCATTACTATTATTATTTAGTGTTAAATATGAACACTGCTATTTTATCACTTTGGATTTCCGTATATTATCTTCTGCTGTAGAGCTGTGAGGATTGGATGTGTGAACTTAAGTGAATACCACACCGCAAATTGACGCGTCCGCTTCTTACACGAAGTCATGAAAATAAACGCACATAGTTTCAAGAAACCTTGAAAATTCCCCAATGCAAGGGGCTACCATGTTCATGTGAGCATTCTAAATTCTAGAGTGTATTTTCATCAAAAGGAGAACTCATATTGAATTTTTCATATAATTCTTGCTTGAATGGCTTGTAAAATTTATCATAGCTTACTGATCAAAATGCGAATAAAAGAACCTTGGAACGCGCACACCCGATTTCGAAAATTGCAAATAAATATCACAAACCGCGTAGAATTATCGGAGCATCGTTCTAATGGCGTGAGAGACCATTCTATGCTTCTATTTTCAAGTCCTTTAATTATATTCAAATTACAACCATAGATAAAAGTAAATTCCTCGGATCAAAGATTCGCGTGAACTTCGGCTTCACTGACATACGTCAACCTAAAGCGTCATCAGACTATTAATATACGCAGTGAGTAAATACCCAGCTTTTGAGAAGATAAAACAACAAGACCAATTTACTTGCCAAAATTCAAGCTGACCTACTGCAAACAAAAAATCCGCCGTGTTATCAAAGTCACATGCAAATGTACGTATAAAGCCAGGTGTAAGATCCGGACGGTTGTGGATCTCACAGGACGATTGCGACGATTAGATTACACGCAGTTCGCAGCCAGTAGTCAATAAGAGCAGATAGACATGGGGAAGGAGATCGTATATTGAGGACTGGCAGTAACTAGTCCTACAGACAAACGAATTAGTAAGCATCATGAATGAAGCAAATGTACAATAAACAATGACGCAATCACCAGGAGTAGGTAGTAGTCACTCTCACAGCACGGATTTCTATAGGGGCAACAAAAATTAATTACCAAACGATGTAGAGACATACATATAGGGGCAGTCTGACAGTGTGAATTGGCCGTGACGCGCAGGAGTCAGTACGTTTGGAATGTGAGGGACTCTCTTCCGGTCGGCGTCGACGCAGCTGCTCGTGTCGCGTGACAGGTCAGATTGCGCGGTTTCGTCCGTTTAAATCAAAAAGTTCAGCAAAAGCTATCTGGCAGGCGTGATACGTGGGTAATACAAAAGGATCAGCCATTTCGGGCGTCAGGTCGGCATTAGTTGGTAGCGCGTTCGCTTGCCGTCCGGAGGATCCGGGTTCAACAACCGGTCGGCCCGCATTCTCATCGGAGGGGCCGCTCAAATTAGCTTCAGTCGAGACGAACTTGCAGGCAGTGACACCCGTGCAACGAAATATTGACAGCAGTTACTGAGAGATACGCAGACCTTGAACAGGAACGAAAAGGGGGGAACGAGCACCGAGAAAAACGTACGGTGTCATAATAAACCGGTGTAATTTATGTTACTCTTGTGTAGTCAGAAAACAGGGAAACGTACCCTTGTTCACCGTTGATTCACAGGGGAATCAACACCAGGTGCTACGTGGAACCGTTTCTAAGACTCAGTTAGCTGCTCTGTACTGTCTGGAGCGCATTTTTGCTCAATGAAAGGATCCGCGTTTGTCCTACGAACCTCTACAAATCACGAACGCGCACATATTGTTGAAAAAACTTGCCCAAAAGATCAGCCATTGAACAAGCTGATCAAATTTGCCGATGACGCCTTAGTTAGAGAAATCTTTGTACCTCGGACCTACTCTATTTGTGGTTGATAGCTTTTTCACACTATCGCCATGCATTTGTATGGCAAAGTTCGATTACGGTTGGGCGTACAGTATAAAATTCCAGGCGGATGAAGCTGCAGGTAAGCCAGGGTACGATGCGTCGTTGTTCGCCTCTCATCGCGTTCTTGTTCTGCATGCTTAAAGGCGACCGGTCTCCACAATTTCTCATCGATGTTTAACAACGAGCCGTCAAAGAACTGGGCAGTCCTTGTGGCTGGTTCCGACTCCTGGTTAAATTATCGACATCAAGTAAGTTTCACTGGGTTTTTCAATGGTTTGAATCACGGAATTTGTTTTCTAAAGCCTGAGTCTAAGTGGTTGTAAAGTGGAAATTTGTACTAAAGTTGTCCTAAACAGATGGGAATTTTCAGTGGAAAAGGTGGCGCATGGATGCTACAAAGAATGCACACACATTTAGTGGCCTGTGTTCATTTTCGACAATATGTCCTTGTCGTACATCGAAGATTCGCTTTGTGTAGGGTCGATTCTCCGGACCTATTAAACACAAATTTTACTGAGGTATATACTGCGCTTCACGTCATTCTGAAAACAACATCGTCACTCATAAGCGTTTTATGTTGCGTTATTTTGGGTGCAAGCATTGCCTGAGAGTAGAAAATATGACCTTTCAAAAATGCAGGAGAATTCCTTGGACTTTGATGGTTTTCAAGCAACCACTAATCATCTAATCTAGCCTTTTGCCTCATCATATTAGAGAAACGCTCCTAGACTGCGCAGTAACGTAGACTAGAGTGCCCTGATGAATAAACCAGGATTTAGTAATCTCAACACACACCACTGACTTAGCAAAGACATTGGATTGTAGGCCAGGCCTATACTACGGCTTGGCAATGTGAGAAACTAGTTGTGTAATACGTGGTGAGGTCAAGTAGTGTGTATTTGAAATAAACATCTGAAACGCGACATTAGCTAAAGTCCTCCGTCCGCTGGTGTTCTTTTTACATGGGTTTATGAGAATACGTTACACATATTGAGTGTGTCTGTATCCATTCCTAAGATTCGGTGAGCAATATGTTATTGCCACCAGTTTGGCTGCCTATTGTGGAAAAGAATGACAAAATCGAACGTGTTGTCATCGAATTCAAGGGATACCATGTTCGTAGAGCCCCTGTAGGCATGTTCTCGTTATGATAATCGACAAAATTTAAGACTGTGGTCTATACATTCCTTACCAGACTGGGATCCTGCTTCCCGCTCTTTGGCCTTGTCTTCGAATTCCATTGTGATACAAAGTAGAGTGGGTATAGAAAACGTTCTGATCACAATGGACGTCAGGCTAATTCCTCGGCTATAGCTACATTCTATTTGGGCTTCATCAAGTCAAATCAGTAGTTTTAGACAGTTTTTTCCGCCCGAAAAGACCAATAAAACAGATGAACCACAACAAAATATTTCCCCGCATGTTTAAATAGCCTGATTTAGGAAAGCAACTCCACTCACAGAGGTGCTCTTTTTTCTTGTCAGAATTCTGACTGTTCGTTGAGTGATATTGTACTCTCAATCTTATCCAAGCTTCGAAGAGATTGAAAGCATTGCTCGGGATGCAGATCGGAAGCATCAGTGTTAGATTCTTTTGAAGAGTAAGCGGAGAGAACAAATAGACATCCTGCTTAAGAGATATTCTCCAAGATGTTGTGAAGAAGTAACTTTTAACTCATTCAACGAGAAGCCATTCGCCTTGGTGGCCTAGAACATCACCAGCCCTAGCAGAACCAGTAACAGCGGCTTTCGCATCACCAGAGGCGCGCAAGTAGAAACCAGCGCAAACCAATGGAGAGATCAGTTCAGCAACTGTGTTGTGATCTCAAATCCTCACTTCGAAAAAAAAACAGAAAGTGAGTCCAGGAAACAAGCATGCTGTAGGGGTTGCTTTAGAGCGCAAGCAGTAAAGATTGACAGAAAAACTGAAGAACATTTTCTGAGCTCTAAAGCTGTGGCGACCGAGCTCGACGCGTATATTGCAGCGGACGCTACTAAGAGGCAAACGGACCCCTCAGTTATTAAGAAAGTGCCTACGTGGATGAAAGTGAGAATACCGAATATATAAAATTTAAGAAAGGATGGCTTCAGCAGTAGCATGTTTTTACTTGCTCGCCCTGCGGTAAACAGCACACAAGCAGTTGGGTTGATGACACCAATCCTGTCCGATGTTACATGCGATTATGTGCAAGCGTGCAATCTAAGCTGGTATTTCGGCTGTGATACTATATTTGTAAGGTGGATTGTCCTACACTGCAGTCTTCTGTTCGCAGACAATATGTAAGCAGTTACAAATTGTTGAACACCGTTTGATTTCCAGATTAACGGTGCACTATGCAGACAGCCAGAAGAATGAATCCAACCCAAATTATGGATCGATTCAACCTATTGACCAACCTGGTATGAGAGAATCTGTGTGTGTCACGGAGACACTCCCAAGTATAGCTCAACTGATCGCTGAGGTGCGCGAACCGTCGCACCATCACAATAAGCTTAACTCCAAATGTGCGAGACTGCAGGCCAGTAACGGGAAAACTTCTAGCAGTTTGCGGCAGTTTAGCACTTGCTGTCTTCCCTTAGGAGTTCGGTTCATCTTAAAGGGTCGTGGTTGAAACATCCTCCAAGGCCAAAGGTGTTTTCTGTGGTCATTAGGATGATCACTGTTCTAAGCTGAGCACACATTTGGTCAAGAAATAACCAACCTCCGTCAATTATTCAACGAGGCACCAAGGGCCAGACTATTGGAGAAAAACTCAAGAAAGAACAGCAAAAGTGGAGAGCTGTGTGCAGTTGAGGATGACTCAATAAGGAACCCTCCTCATCCTTCCCTAAATAAATCCGCCATAACGGTTTGTAGAAGTCCTTATGTTTGAAATATCGGTCGATTTTGATGAGGTTCGAGTATGTTGTGAAACCCCATGCCAAAGTTCAAGATGAAAAATTATCACTGTTTCATTCTTAAGATATAATCAAGTGGTGTGATGAAAAATATTGCTCCATATATTTCATGTGTGAACAGCTTTTTCTGGTGACGGAGATATTGACGACCGTGGAAAATATCCCGCCATTGATGTGCAACGCTTTCAAACATTTTTAACCATTCGCATCCGAAACGATCAGCAATGCAATTTCGGGATAAAATTTACCAATGAATATATACCATTTTAATACAAGTTTGACGCAGAAATTTATTATCTACAATGGCATATGAAAACATATTTTTGACGGGTTATCACGAAAATATTTTGTGAAGCCTGAAGTGCAAGCCACGAAGGATTGATGGTGGCCGAAGAAACTGATAAGCCCAGTGCATCGAAACATTATTTACAACAACTTTGAACGTACCACACTCATTATACATTAAGGACTCTCCGGATAAAATATAAAATCACGATTCAAAATCCCAAACAAAGTATTTCAACCCCGCAGCAGCCAAGTATCTGACCAGTTAGATGCCGTGCTCAAAGTCAAGTTATTAATTTTCTGAAAAACGCGTAAGTATGTTACATTCAAATTATTGGGCTTGGGATGATACATCCGAATGCTTTTGAAAGAACTGGTACTCAAACAAGTACGCATGATCCTAGACATTCCGACTGCCTGCTTTCGCCTCTGTACCTACTATGTCCGTTATCTCTAACTCACCTATCATTTATATTTCCCTTCAGGCGAACGTTTTTCACGCATATCACGTCTTGCGTGCAAACAAAATTCCAGCGGAGAATATAATTACCTTCGCCTACGACGATATTGCAAAAAATCCCAAGTAACTATCACGTGCAATGTTTCCCATTCGATAGTAATTAAACTGTAGAAATCGGTTGTCACTATTTGGCTTTAAATTGTCCCATTTTGAGCCGTTAATTTCATTTATAATAATCATGATTGTGGTAATTCTTCGCCGGTAATAGCAAATTTTTACTTCGTTTGGATTCTCAGTATTCTGATCAATAGCAAGTCTTCACTACCCTTCATTTTCAGTAGTCTGAAACTAATGACATCGAAATCAATATATCGTTTGAATGCAAAAGCTGGCCGATGATTTGGATCAAGTACTAACCGGACGACCTAGAAGTCTCAACATTTTGCAGTACAGCCGGTTGCTGGAACCAGTGGAGCAAAACATCTACTGCCGTGGAAAATTGGTTTGTGCTTCTAGTTTGTAATAGTCGTAAGACGTTCACTGCTCAATCGAAATACATTCGAGGGCACTGGGTGAGGATATGATCATATGATATTTTGCTAGTGGTGTTTGGCTGTATATTTACATAAAAGTTATTTCTTTCACGCAACATTTATGATGTTCTATGTTTTCTACATAAAGAGGATCTATAAATCAGGTAAAACTAAATCTAGCGTGTGCCCCATAGTGCACTTATCGGCGTGTAAATTAATTCAAGTACAGGACCGGAAACCAAACTCACACGCTTTTTTGTCATGTCTTTCCATTCGAACTGCATGTCATTATTTGTGAAAAGTTCACTGCTCCTTCTCATCTCTTTTACCTCAGAAATCCGTTTCCAGGCCAAGTTTTCAATGACTACGAGCACGAAGATGTTTACAAGGGTGTGGTAATTGACTACCGTGGAAAAGTATGCCCATGCTCAGCAAATAAATGAATTTGTTTACTGTGTAACACAAGGAACAAGTAACATGACACTGCATACAAAAACACAATAGCAACCTTAGGTCAGACTAACCAGACTTACTATAATAGAGAACGCTAAATTTACTTGAACGAACACTAATCATAAGGTGATAGTGAACTCTCAAGCAGCCCACGACGGAATGTGGAATTCTGGGTGCGTTCGGTTAAGTGAGACCAGTGTAATAACGGTATTTTCAAAGCTACTTTTTTGCTCTGAACTTTTTGTCAAATGCACTGCCAGTAGTGCAGCGTCGTTCAGGAAGCATATACGTCGACTATCGTCTGGAAATTGTGGTACCTCCCTGATTCGCCATTAGCAAACAGCATTTGATGGACACTGAATCATGATTGGTTATTTGTTTCAATCATAGATCGTCTTTGCAACCTGCCTGATTCAACTGCCATGCTCGGCCAACTCACCAACAATCAGTTGTTATGTTTTCATCATTCAGCGACTGTCGTGAAAGTAATCTGAGTGAAAGTAGACAGTAGGGCGCAGATTTCTCTTAATTTGCTGGACTGTAAATCCGTGGATACTGCCGTTAAAATAAGTGTGGGGAAATAAGTGAATATTTGTTTTAATCTCTTTCAGGACGTCAAACCTGATATTTTCAGGAAGGTACTGGAAGGCGATGAGAAACTTGAAAAGGAAGGGAAGAAGGTGTTGAAAAGGTGATTTTGCGCGGAAGTAGACATTGTTGAAGCATTTGTTGATCGCAGCCAGAATTCCAGTGATTAAGGTTAGCGTTTTCGTATTTGCGAAACGCGTGTTTAGAAATCTCGTAAGTCATATGCTATCTAACATCTTTAAGCAAAGCTCCCAGAAGGTAGTCAAAACTCCAAGAGAAACCCTGTTTATCAATTCGAGACTATGGATTGTTATTAAATCATAGATATCAATCACTATGGTTAACAGGTTTCGAAAATATTCAGGTAGGCTCAGTTGTGAATAATCAAATATCTGTCCCGTCTTTTACACCTTGGGTTCGGTCGACCTTGGTTTGTTCAAGTCCAGTAAGCGTTTTTTGATCATTGTCATCCCAAACATAAAAAACAATGGTGGAAATCCAAGTTCATTTACAGTCCTATCAATTGGCTGAATAGCAGTCCCTCAATATCCTATCGCAATTCACCGGCAATACTCTCAGCTTTTATATGTAGATTGGTAGCGTCACAGTTTATCTTTTAAGAATCTTTCCACGGATAATTGACTCGGATATGACGAGAGGTGATGCGTTGCCTTACAGATTCAAGTCAGAATATCAAGAAAACATTTATTCACTTGTGCATCATAAATCTCTCATCCTGTCAGTTGTTCATTTTATGGATTCGGAATTACCGCACAATAGTGATCGCCCGCTTTTTGTGCGTGTTAACCGATTCGTAGTTTGTTGAGATAGGGAAATGAAGATAATCTTTATAATAAGTAATCAAGGGTGATAAATTCCCTTGCAAAATGAAAACAATGTTATAAACGGAAAGAGCTTCCACTCAAACACACTATACCAAATCTGAAAAATCCAATCAAAATGAACTTCCAATCCTAAATTTCGGCTTGATATCCAATCAAATGTGGGGAAGGAGATCGTGGCACAAGAGAAAATGGGTAACAGATCAATCATACCATGAACAAATTGTCCCCAAACAGAAAATACTCGAGTTCTTGGAATGCAGAATTTATGCAACAACTACATTTTCGGGCAGAATATGTCGTTGGGAATATTCTGTGGATTCAGCGGAAAGATGAGCACTCTCTTGGTCAATACATAGTATCAGACAGGTATGAAACTACCGACCGGTTCATTCACCCATGATGTCACTTCATTTGGCGAGGGATCATTTGGTAACTGACCAGAAGGATCAGAAAACAGATGAGCATTCACTTGTTTAACGACCAACAAGCGGAACGTATGGCTTCGTGAATGTCCGTGTTCGAAATACAGGTTTGTCTCACCTCGATGATAATATGGTTCCTCAGTGGTGAATACACCGTGGGGATATTTTTATAAACCGGTTTCATTATGCTGCTGAGAGCGTGATTTGGAATGGCTGAGTATCACCATTCCAATTTCAAGATGATAAAACTAGCCAAAGTGGATAACTGCCTTCAATCACGTTCGTATAATAAAAGCCAAGTGAGCTACTATATCACGTGATACAACAGCAAACAAACAGGCGTTCCAAAAATCAATTTTCTATTCCCATATTCCATGTAAATAGCACAGTATTGCAAGTTACGGTATTTGCCGATTATATCCAGTAGCGTGTTGCAAACATTCGTGTTAAGTGCTCAGCGTGCTCAACGTGTTAAGTGCTCAGCCGTACAGGAATTACTCAAAGTTAAACATATTTTGTCATGGACAGAAATGAACAGTGGAACTTTTTATACCATTCTGATTTCCTTAATGACAGGCCGTTTACGTTACAACCAGGCTTCTGCAACTTGTAACAAATCCATATTTTTCGGGAATATTACAATCGAATTTCCGTTCCCGGGCCTAACTGTTTTGATTTTCTATGCGCGAGGGCACCACCTTAACTATCTTAACCTTCCCATTCACTTGCAGCGGTCCTGATGACAACGTTTTCATTTATTTCACTGGCCATGGTACGCGTTACTATATCAACTTCCCCGAAGAAGATGTAAGTTTTGATAATTCTGGTAACCACACACACAGCTTTTCAAAAGCAGACTTAATTGTAAACGGATTGAAATGCAACAATCCCACCCGTGGTTCTTTATAAAAGAGAGCATACTGTTACACCTGGACTACACATCCACCAAATGATGGAAAAATGCAACGACGTTCGGGCGTCTTTTCCCGTCAAGTTTGGCAGGCCTCGCCAAGGTGCTGTATTGGTAACATTATATAGATTTCACTTTAATAAGTTCAAGCTCGCCCCACTCACATGATTTCGCGGTTGATCCATTTAAGCTGTTGAGGACAAACAAAGTAGCTGGTCGTATAAGGTCACTCATGACGCGTAGATGATACGAAGGTAAGATGCTCTTATTACTTCTCGAGAAACAGCGCTAATATTTGGTAGTACAAATAGGTCCCCGTATACTATGTATGAGAAATCAGTTTTTGATAAGAAAACCGAAAATCAATGTAAACTTGCTGCATTATTATTAGGAATCATCAGCGGGGCACTTTGTAATTGCACAATTTAACCTTTGGGCAAGGGGCGATCAACAAACAACCTGATTTGTCCGCAGTTAGTCGGGATATTGCGTCGCTCATCCATCAGTCAAGGGGAACACATCACTAGTGACTTACTCCAGGAGTGACATCTCATATAGGAAATCCATTCACTATGTGGATTATTGTTTCCTCGCTACTAATTACAGTGTATTAGTAGTGAGATTACATTTGGGATTTTTCAATTCAATGGAAATCACACCAAATTTGCTTAAAACATGATTAAATCCAGGATTCCCTCCACAGATTGTCTTGACTTACTAGAGGGCATGCAGTCCACGGCTAGGCACTACAAGTATATGCTGTAATTCGTTGTATTAAGGCAACACTGACACTAATACGGACACTTTGTACAGAGCGTATTCATGATCGTTGTAGTCACTCTTAATGTGCAACCAAACATATTCAAGTCCACCACGGTGAATGAGATGAGAAAATGGTTAAAACCGGCCGTGAAGTTGACACCTGGAATGCTATGAAATTCACTCGTTCAAACCGGCAACCCATTATTATTCTGAATTTGTGACTGCATGCTCCTTGTTCCTTGCGTGCTCTTTCAAAATATTTTTTCTGCACGACCCCAGGATAGCTGACTAACATCTTAGAGGACATGATGGCAGTGATATTCCAAGAAAACAAGGACAACAAACAGGGTAATGGGCTCTCAGTTAATCGAGATTAAATAGGACGCCTTCAAATGTAGTCCTTCTACCGACCCTGGTGGAAGGTATTTCCAAAAACGCAAAACTCGTTCAGGTATAATCTTTCGATCTCACGCAAACTTTTTTTGACTTGCTACAGCTTCATGCGGTGAAATTGAATGATATCCTGGGCAACATGTATTTAAACAAAAGGTACAACAAATTGGTGTTTTACATGGATGCTTGCTACTCTGGTTCTCTGTTTCGCGATCTTCTTCCCGCAGATGTAGGAAGTAAGTGACGTATTTTTTGGCAGGCTCTCGTAGAGATCCTTTTAACTAACATTCAGAATTTTCGTCACATATGGCTGAAACAACCCACTGCACAACACAAAAATCGAAAAAATCGAATTTCTAATCATGATTTAAGCTTGTTCTCCTGCGATCTTGGAATTGAGGTAGCCCCTGTCCATCTGCAAGAAGCTTCTACCCGGATAGTGAACAAAATCCAACCTTCAACGATTAATGTCACTTTTGCTGCTGAACTAGCTTCCGCTGGTTAGAAGTGGTCTCTGTGATATCGGTGCATCACCTGTGACATTTCGGTTTCCATTGCAACAATCACCAATTCCACGTAAATAGCGTACTTCTAAATAATGAATCGATCGTGAATCTTTTATAAAAATTACACTTCCATCGATCAAACAACAGGTATGATGCCAACGACGTGACTACATTTGAGAGGTTCTCGTACGTGATCTCTTCTGGTGGGAGTTTTGTCAGTGTATATCTACGTAATAGTGTAATTTGAGGAAATTTCTAGGGCTGCACCTTTCTGACTGACCCCAAGCAGCATGAAAACCATGGCATTCAAGCAGCATGAAAACCATGGTATTCAGTCGAAGATTTTTTAGCGATCTTCTGATCTGATAATGTTTTTCGAATTCTCGGAGCTTCACGAATTTTGTGAGTCACAGTATCAGTTAGTCGATGATATAACTTATTATTTCAAGCTTTTGTTTACAGTGATCCATTTGTTCTCTTGTTTCAACCCTCCAAAATTGCAGTCTACGCGACAACATCTGCCAACGAAAATGAAGAAAGCCTCTCTGTTTTTTGTAATGACAAGCGAATCGGTGTTTGTCTAGCGACCGAGTACTCGTATGCTTGGATTACGGATTCGGAATACGTGAGTTTTATCACAACTGTTGCAGTACTGTGGTAGGTAACGGGCGACGGTAGTCCATTTGATTGGGCGATGGTAGTCCATTTGATTATCTCAACCATACATTGTTTGTTTCTAAAGAGTTAGCCATATTGCCCCAGTAAGTGTTAATCCTTGGGTGACAGTGGAGGCTTGTGTCTTTGAAGAGCGCCCGATTCCCACTGTCGCAGTTACAGTCGCTGCAAAGAGTGCCTCTGTGTCGACGTTGGTCAAGTTATTGTTGTTGTCATTTATGATTCCGATCGCCTAAGTGAGTGTCTTGGGCTGTAGTCGCATTGAAATGATTGTGGTGTGCCATAAATTTGATGGCTTTCTTTTGAATCGGGCTTCAAATAGACTTTTAATGCACGCAGGGGAGCGTTAACGTTGTACATGGTTGCAGAAAATAATGATGATGATGGTGATGATTATGATGGCAATGAGGATGACGATTATAGTGATGATGATGATTGCCCTAGAGCATCAAATTCTCAACGTGTGTATAGTATCGTTTACTGGCACAGCGAGGTTCTCTGTGATTCATCAGTAGTATGCCTAAATAAATATTTCGGTTGTCTCACTTCTAGCGATGCTTTTATTAGCCGAAAACACTTATGCTAAAGAGTATGCTGATGCTCGTGATGATGATGATGATGATGATGATGATGATGATGATGCACTTCCCGAACGCTTTCTTTTCTTCTCTGGGTTGCAGTGAACCGGGAGTTATATGAAATTATTCCACGCAACTATACATTGACCAATGATTTCGACAATCCGACAGACAATGTAATCGCCAAAACGTAGAGAAAGGAGTCAATTCCACCTCCTTGGCCTATCCACGCTACTGGAATTTTTGCGTATCTAGTAGAGTCTGATATATTATTTGCTGACTTTATACCTGTATCATAAATCTCTACTTTCAAACAGGATATCACGTCTATCCCTTCTATCGAACAGCAGCCCCATCTTAAATATCTGGCTCAAAGTGTCCACTAAACTAGACGCCTTTCATTATACCTTCAGTTACCCATTAAGCGTGAATATATCTTGCACCCGAAAGTGTAAAATTACATCTTATTTTATTTGATGCATAAAGTTCGCACTATTTTCTTTTATTTGAAGACATTGTCCAAACAGGACTACACAATCTCTGATAAAATTTCAACAGGACTGTTCAACCAAAGTTATACTAAGACTTCACAATGAGACATACCCCATAGATTTGTTTGTTTTATTAATTTCTTGGGGTAGGGTTTGTTAGCTGTCCATTCAAGCAGTCTCTTGCGATGGTTTGAGTGGTCAGCCATACGAGTAAACATTTAGTTTCACAAAAGATACTTTCATTGATAATCATTAATCGACCGTTAAACATTTAGCTGAAACCGTTGTGTTGTAATAAAAGCATGCTTCGATATCTTAGATCCACGGATAATTGTCCACCAAAGTCAGGTGTAGGGCTTCGGAAACGGGCGACTTATTAGGACCTCAGTTTAAGTTCGGGTGTGCACCTGCCTGCACCTGCTCGTCACCGGATCCGGGAAAAAAGTCATCCCTGCAACCGAGCTAGTTTGACAGAGCCCACACAGCCCACACTTTGATCCCTTGATGACTGACTGACCATCCTGAAGCCTCTCCCGCCGCAGCGAACAAACGTTACAAGCAAAAGACTAGGATGGTACGCAAGAAGCATATGCACCTGACTGGTAAACCGATGATTGAACAGCTCCACTTTTTGGACGCATAGTTTAGGGGCATCAGATGAAGGACTATACAGTGGGAGTTGAACAGAGTCTCCAGCGGCATGAAACAAGTCTCTCACGGTTTCAGCATACTATAGTCTGATGTTTTGTACTACCCCTTTTCAAAGCAGTGGAGGGAGCAGACATTTTTACAGTCGAACTCTGGTCCCTATTCCCAAATAGGTGTGCTATTTGCTCTTACACGCAAGGGACACTTTATTTGAAAGGACCCATATGGCTGTTACAGTGAATAACTAAACAGAGTGGATTATATAGTGTATACACAGTTCTGACAAATACCATACCATTTGACCCTCAGGTTGAAAAGTACTCTTTCAGTGGTTTTACCAGGAAGAAAACCACTGTGCAAAGCAAGACAAACAAACTTGGAAGGCCAACAAAAAGAAACAAACTTTCAGCTCGTTTTCTTCGGACCGGAACAGCCGAGCTGTTCGGATGTACGAGACACAGCTCCAGCTATAAGGATTATTGAGACAAACCCATGGCTTTCTACTTTGTAAACATCAACAGTGAGGCGCACTCCTTTAGGTTTCGTCAAATATGATTCGCTAAAGAGTATGCTGATGCTCGTGATGATGATGATGATGATGATGATGATGATGATGATGATGCACTTCCCGAACGCTTTCTTCTCAACAAGTCCGTCGAAATGATGTACAAAACACAGCGTGCGGCATATTTGGGTGTATTCCTTTGTCATGTTATCGCCATTTGAGTCTTTATACATTCTCGCGTACGCTGCCTAATAACGAATGAGTCGCCGTTGCATATTGTCCTAGCATACGATAGATCCTTTCAAGAAATTCATCCAGCATTGCAAGCAAATTTGGCTGAGTCATGTGTTGTGCATGTCCAATTACTGCCCGCCGAGCGGAGTGTTGTAATCCATGCCCACTCCGGATTGCCAAAAACCAATAGGTAATCAGAATTTGACATGGTAGAAGGAAATTAAGAATTCTATGGAAATGTTGAGTTATATGTGTATGGTGTGCTGGAACAGTGGAGTTTTCACTGGTGTATCAGTAGTATGTGTCGTTCCTTAACTCGGTTGTCTTAACTCTAGTGCTTTCACTACATTGGATCAATTTCACGTAACCTCCCTTTGTCATTATTACTCACCCACGAGCAGAATGACTTGAAAAAGCGTACACTGGATCAACAGTACGAGGAGGTAAAAAAGAGAACGAAAGATAGCCATGTGATGAAGTACGGTGAGACGGTGAGTCATAAACTGTCACGGAGAGATTCAGTTGCGTCACTTTTGGAAAACCAGCGTTATGTAAATGAGTGTATTCGTCGAGATGAGAGTTGCATTTCGTTACCTTAGAAATGTAACGGTAATGTCAAATATGGTTGGTTAGGTACCTCATGTACCATAGAAGACGTTCTCCAAGTCAGCCAGTCCAGTTATCCAGATATGCAATCCTGGCTATTGTCCATTTTCGGATAACAGAGTAATCGCGTTGGATACATTGTGCTCTGTACCCATCTGGTATGGTACAAAAAGAACCCAAATCTACATAAATAATCCACGAGTAACTCAGGGCAAGAATAGATTGACACGACGACTAAACTTTCATCTGAGAACTGACCACTCGAGGAGCCAGTGAATTTGTAGCCACGTGATATGGTCTTCCGTCGTTGAACGATTAGTGCTGTGACGCTGGGTGCTGTCTAATGAAAGGCCAATCGCACTGCTGATCAATCCCTTGTGCTATTCAACCATTGGCCGGAAGGTCACCGGTTCGTCATTCCCTGTTGCAGTCGGATGTGCACTGCTTCTGACTCCCAATAAAAAACGGACATCTATAGGAGCCTTCTCGCTTTCTCAGCACAGGTTGGCTTAACTGAAACGGTGAAATATTCAATCGAACGAGAAATTCTGCTTGGCGGTAAAAAGTGAAAGTGCACAATAACAAGGGTGCAATCGATCGATATAAGCACGTCACAATATCATTTTGGTGCCATTCAAGATTAAACTTTATGAAAATTGACGATGTCTTTAGCGCACTATCTAGCCGAGTTACACCATTCAGTCAGAAGTTCAAGCTCCATGGAAACTTTAGACCCACTTTGATGTTCACATCAGCGGTAAACTGCGTATTTGTACTTTCTGCCGAATAGTGTGTGTGGGTACAGGAATTCCTCCGATAAAAAAACAACGATGAAATCAGCTCGTGCATTTTATAATCCTATAATGTAAAAACGCATGATTTAACCATCACAATACTTTATGCGGATTTTAGTGGCTGTTGGGCAACAAAAAAAGCACGTTCACTGCTTCCCGAACTAGTGAGTTCTACCAAATGCACATTCAAAATGTACGCCGGCAAATCGAATAGTGCGCTTTGGTTGCATCCGCTGTTACTAGGCGGTGCATTTTTGAATTCCCTCAGTAACCTGAACAAGCAAACTTAGATGCACATCTTAGTGATTCGCTGAACATCAATGCTGTACACCAGTGTCTGAGAAAAATCATGAATTAATAGTGATTGATCAAACGGATCCTTCACCACGAGCACGTGGTAGCTATGTGTAGAACCACGGTTGCACTGTAGACTTCTTCTTTTTATGGAAAGAGAGGGTATCAGAGTTGATAATACACTGATAAGCATCTGTTAATTGTTCATTTCAGACGATGGGAAGACTCCCAGTTGGAAAGTTCCAAGGTCATTATGATCTACTATTGCACTGGAATGATGAGGCAATAGCAGTATGTGTTCAGCGCCATATTCAATATTTTGAATTGTCTATTGGAACAGTCATGAATTACGCCATTATATGTTTAGAGAACCAAATGATTACTACACCGACCAATGCCAGCCTTCGGCTATCGGTGATGCCACCACTTTCTCGACAGTGAGAACAAGGGAGATTAGTGCACAGATCTGAACGCTGAATCACCCGCTCTGTCAGATACCTATTAGCTTCTCTGCTAGAATGACTTATACATACATACATACGCACATACATTTAAACATGCATACATACATACATACATACATACATACATACATACATACATACATACATACATACATACATACATACATACATACATACATACATACATACATACATACATACATACATACATACATACATACATACATACATACATACATACATACATACATACATACATACATACATACATACATACATACATACATACATACATACATACATACATACATACATACATACATACATACATACATACATACATACATACATACATACATACATACATACATACATACATACATACATACATACATACATACATACATACATACATACATACATACATACATACATACATACATACATACATACATACATACATACATACATACATACATACATACATACATACATACATACATACATACATACATACATACATACATACATACATACATACATACATACATACATACATACATACATACATACATACATACATACATACATACATACATACATACATACATACATACATACATACATACATACATACATACATACATACATACATACATACATACATACATACATACATACATACATACATACATACATACATACATACATACATACATACATACATACATACATACATACATACATACATACATACATACATACATACATACATACATACATACATACATACATACATACATACATACATACATACATACATACATACATACATACATACATACATACATACATACATACATACATACATACATACATACATACATACATACATACATACATACATACATACATACATACATACATACATACATACATACATACATACATACACTTCAATACTGAATGGTCTAGGAAGACAATTCCCCAGTCAGCATTGAGAGAGCTCCTGGTAACGGTATGTGTTTTTCAATTGTTTTCTTCGTTCTAGCCGAAGGTTGTAGACAGAAAACCCTCTTCTCGGGTGCATTTGTTATCAAGGTCTCGACGCCTGATGGAGGCCACGACCGCGGAAGTATACGAGACTTGTTATCGAAATCTTTACCGCGCACTTCAGGTTTGTATTTCCTTCTCTTACACAAATCATCCGAGAACAACATCCGGTTGCACGATAAAAAAATATCTTTATAAGGAAGAATTGATTTGTTTAGTGAAGATTACGTATGCTCGGTAGCAGGTGAACAGTAATCAGCCTAGTATTTTTGCGTCCGTTTTTTGAAGCCACCCGAAAATTAAATGTGGTCTGATTAGGACTGGCATATATATTTTATAGTCGATCAATAATACCCCGCAGCTATTCCTCTTGCATTTTTCAGCTTCGCCACATCGTCAGGGAAACGTTTCACGACATCGTCATGTATATGGCAACCCACCATAAGCCAACGGTAAAAAGCTTATCCAAGAGGGATGAGCTCATGTGTTTCAATAAAGTATTCGACCAATTCCAGAAACATTGCTTCACAATTCAGCAGGTGGGTTGACTTCGTGGTGCACACGAACCAGTGCGAAAAATGTGCGTCTACCTTATTTGCCAGTGCAGTCACCCTTGGGGTCACTTAAGACATGCGTCAGTCCATAGAACGCCTGATTAAACGTCCATCAAACGACAGTTACGACAGGAAATCTCAGGGCGAATCATAGAATTCGGAAGGTGATGTAGCATAATCGAAGTTACAAATAATACGAAGTGTAATGATCTACTATCACTTGCAGTGAACTCGTGATTATTCCAAGTGTCCGAAGCGTCCTTTTGTCTGTGAAAGTTATCATACGGGCGAATCATAAAACGCGGAATGTGATGTAATTTATTTAGAATATTAAACAACCGCAAGAGATCTGGAATAAGTTCTCCTATAACTCGGAATGAGCACGTCGATATATTAAGATCAACAGCAGCTAAATGAAGTTTACTGAAAACCGTTCATTTCATTTCAGTTCAGTTCAGTTCAGTTCAGTTCAGTTCAGTTCACTTCAGTTTAGTTTAGTTCAGTTCATTTCAGAACAGTTCATTCCATTCCAGTTCAGTTCAGTTCGGTTCAGCCCGACGAACACGCTCGGTTACTCGCCCTCGCATGAACGAGACTTAGCCAGCCTAAACCGACCATCAAGTCAGTGCGATTGATGTTTTCGTATGTGAATCCGGACAGTCGTGACGAATGGTCTGTTTGTTCAACAGTGTTAGGTAGTGTAATGAGGCACCTTTTGATCAGCATTTCTGGGGAAAGTTACTGGTATATTCAATCAACTCGAACAATTTGGAGGAACGACTGTTTGTTTCCTGGAGTTCACGCAGTTTTAATAATCTTCTACGCAGCTGAATACGATTGTGTGTTCTCTGCTAACAGAAAAGGAGTGTATTTCAGGACGCTTCCAAATGCCCAAAATTCACATATGCCCATGTTCATCAACTCCTCTCATGTATACGTTTGTGATTCCCCGCGCACAATTGGCTCGACCTTCAGTATGCTTCACAGACAATCATCCCCGTCATAATGGCCACATTTTCTCGAGAATACTGAATTCTGTTGGTGGACCCCATGATGAATCTTTTGTGGACATATTGTTGTTTGTACGGAAGCATTCGTAGGCATCGGTTCAAACCCGTTTTGGACATGTGTGATCCTCGGTCTTTCGTTTGCGTGGTGAGTATTTCGTGTGAATGCCTGGACTGATTTCCTACCTGAGATTCTGTTATCTCTCTGTCTTCAGGTCCCAGTGATACCTCAGCACACGGCAAATCTAATGGAGCTGTGCAAAGCCGGTTACGAGTCCGAAGCCATCATCGAGTCAGTCCGCAACGTGTGCTCCTAACGGATATGCACTAAGTTGTGTGATTTGGCAAAAACAAAATGAATTGCATCTGGTCCGTATCGTGTTATACCAGGCATACAAGACATGTGTTGTATTTTTCATCAAAAAAGAGCGGTCACGAAATCGGTCGTTATAAACTGAAGGAATTGAGGTAAAGGCCTACTTGTTCTGGGATCTGACGGACTCATCAAGACGCTTTCACAAATCTGACGCACTATTCGACGATATATTCAGAGGACGAATAATAATGAGCCGGTTAATCAACGCAGTTAGGACATTTATCGGGTCGTCTGTCGACTCATACACGCTACTCTTTATTTTCTTGTTCACTTTAACTGGACTAGCGACACATAATCAAACTTGGCCCCGTCGAATTTGAATAAGCTTTCATTCAGCCAGTCACAACCTCATTGGATGCTTAGATGATGTCGTCAGGACTGTGTCCGTTCGACTAACAATCACGCCGGTTATATATATCTTTCGGGTTTTGCAACTGCTTTCTTAAGACACTGAAAACCTGATAATGTACTGCTACACTGCTACTTCCAAGGCCCATGATAACTCTTCAATAGATCACTATCGCTCTCCCGTTCGAGGTCTCATTAAACAGGCGAAAAATCTGGTTTTCAATTGAAACAAGGTTGATGGGAAATTGCATACGAATAAATCAGAGACTGATCAACTCCACCAAGTGTATGCGGTGTGGCATTTGATTTACACGTTCCACAGATATCTTTCTTGGATCCAGCATACAGAATCATTGTGCACTGAACAGTCGTTCCACGGTTGACTGGACATGTCAACTCACAGACTGCAAAGGAGGTTTGTGGGAAATGTGGAGTCCATTATTCGAAACGTTCTACAGTGCACTGAGTGAAATGCTGTTCGGTAACATCCTATCCAGTGAAGGCTAACGACTGTATAACACCGGTACGAAATACGTCGTCACTCACAATTTGGTAAGTGGTGCTACTGGCTGCATGTCACTGGCGATATGTAACCCAAAGACAATATATTGTTTCCCGGTAACGTTTCTTGGTGTGACTCTATGTGATCAGCAGTCAGCAGTTTTTAACATAAGCATTTCCTTATACTGTAAGAAATTAGTTTCACTCGGACGATTCAATGGCACCTAACGATATACAAGCAAAACACCAGAGTCTGGGAGTCCAGCCAACACGCCGACTTAAGCGGCAATCTGATTGGTTCGATTACAGACAGAATTTACCCATCGTTTATGCCAGATTATCACCATCAACCGCTGTTGCCTTTCCAGTAGCTGGTGTCAGAGAGAACGTGCTGATAATGGTACGCACCAGCTTTATTCCAAAAAAGCGCCTGCGGGCGATTGCTGCACTTACTACGGCCCTGCGCTAGTTTAAGAGAAACTACCTGTGATTGATCCAGGCTGTCCAATGCGCGTTCGTCAACACCCATCTACCTCGATCGTCCTGAACGCTGATAACATTCGGTTGTGCTTCTATGCCGTGCTTGAACACTGATTGGCATTCGCTGAATTTATTCGGTGTTTGACGGGCCTAGAGCTTGCCGGGATTCGTATTCAGGTTTCGGTTGAAACTGGAATTCACGACTGATATACATATGCGCATTTGCACATTAACTTCATGTTACCGGGGGACTCAGCTGAACCTAGACATATCTCATGAGTATACTGGTCTTTTTCAACTGGATTGTGGGTTGAACCGCATTTTAAAATTCTGTCCAATGATGAATTGGTTCATCCTTCTTGGTGGGCGAATCACTCGTGATGTTGTTTGTGTCCCAAGGATTAAATACCTAAACAATACAGCACACGAGTATGGCCAGGAAACCGTATGCAGGAATATGAAATTTGGCGCAAGCGATATTCCGGGATAAGCGAAATGTGTTTTCGTAGACTGCAGGTTAACTAGCGTGAAAGGCGTACCTCGGTACTCAAAATAGGAGACAGATAGGAAAGTCGGTGTTGCGAGCCCGGCCCTGGAATTTCGAATGCTTCTGTCTAGCACTGGTCAGTATCTTAGTCCTCGTGCTCCTTTTGAGTGGTATGGTAATACAACTGAATGAGGACTTTTTATTCATTATTTTTGTTACACAGAAATTCATTGTCAAAAGGCAGAGACAATGTGAGGGTCTGGACTAAACATTGGGGAACGACTGCAGGGAACTTGCGGAGTCAATAGAGAGAATTGGGCGGCTTGTAGAGCAGTTCTCATTCCACCAAGCCATGTTAAATCAGCGTCTTAGCTCTGCACAAAAATCCATTAGGGCACCAAGAATACCGTTGTAGAGCATGAGAGATGGCCATTCATACGGCTGGTACTATGGCAAGTACAATGTGGGGTGACTGATCACATTGTTGAAGAAAATTTCTAAGGACCTTGCGGGCCCGGGACAGGAGTGCATTGTTAGCTTGGCAATCATAGCATCGTGCCAGAAAATGTCGTCAAAACATACACGACACCAGCGCGGCGCAAGATAGGTGGCCATACATATGTTATATACTCTGCTAATTGAGAAGATGTCAAAAACCGGAGCAAATTAGGCATGATTGGAGGAAATTCTGAAGGACGTTTACGGAACCAAATTAGTAGAATCTCATTCAGACCGAGAGGCGTTTAGCGAGAGTCGTGATAATAGTTGGCATTGTGTAGAAAACTGGGACGCGAGAACCGGTATAAATGGAATACAATGAAGTTTCATGCGGCGGTTGAGAGTACCCAACTGGTTCTTTGGTGTCTTTGTGTAAGTGTGTTCAATTGCTTCAGACGATTACATATTAAGCGATTACATATTAAGGTGTTCCGTTTTCATCTTGCCATCAGCAGTCTGGAAACAGTGACGTGTGAACATGTCTAGATGTTGATATGAAAGACAGTACTTTTGGGTCTGGCCGAAAATATGTATGTTTATCCCGTCAAACGAGCCAGTAGAATATCTTTTTGCCACCCTTCGTAAATATAATATATTTGCTTTCTTCTATTGTGCTGAATGTCAAGGTGATTTTGTCGCGTTGGTCATGAGAACGTACGGCATCGACTGCGTCTAGACCCGGTAGTTTTTCAGTTCATCGTTTCATTATTTCAGTTCAATGTGCAGTTATTCTGAATCTTTCATAAAACGAAACTACTTTTGATGCACCGCTAACATACGAGCCTCTCAGAGGAAGAATCGGATGATGTCTCCATATTCTAACTGGTTTCCCATATGAACTGGTTAAGACATGCACTGACAACTACGATATTTCTCTTTCATAAATTTGAGAAATCTAAAAAATGCACCAAGGTGATCTGGATCTGGGAAAACACGGGTTGCAGAATTCTATGGAGCGGCCGATCCCTTTAGTTCCCTTTTGTGAGAAGATTTACATCATGGACGCACATAACGCCCCACATTTACAATCAGCAAAGAGAATTGAAACGACACAGTTCCCTTCTCTTTCAGCGTGGTCAACCAAATCGTGAACTAGCGTCATAATCATGATCATAAACCCAGGATTGCCACTGATCTCGAGACCGTCGCCGAGGCACGCACGAATGGGCCGATGCTACGGGTATGCCATGCCTGGTTACTTCAAGAAATAATGTACAGGCACCGACCACTCGCATATAATGAAACTTTGGAAGGCAATTCGGCTACCGGGTGTGTTGCGATAAACGCAGTGAGACGGTGTCTAGATGTTGATATGAAAGACAGTACTTTTGGGTCTGGCCGAAAATATGTATGTTTATCCCGTCAAACGAGCCAGTAGAATATCTTTTTGCCACCCTTCGTAAATATAATATATTTGCTTTCTTCTATTGTGCTGAATGTCAAGGTGATTTTGTCGCGTTGGTCATGAGAACGTACGGCATCGACTGCGTCTAGACCCGGTAGTTTTTCAGTTCATCGTTTCATTATTTCAGTTCAATTTGCAGTTATTCTGAATCTTTCATAAAACGAAACTACTTTTGATGCACCGCTAACATACGAGCCTCTCTCTCAGAGGATCGGATGATGTCTCCATATTCTAACTGGTTTCCCATATGAACTGGTTAAGACATGCACTGACAACTACGATATTTCTCTTTCATAAATTTGAGAAATCTAAAAAATGCACCAAGGTGATCTGGATCTGGGAAAACACGGGTTGCAGAATTCTATGGAGCGGCCGATCCCTTTAGTTCCCTTTTGTGAGAAGATTTACATCATGGACGCACATAACGCCCCACATTTACAATCAGCAAAGAGAATTGAAACGACACAGTTCCCTTCTCTTTCAGCGTGGTCAACCAAATCGTGAACTAGCGTCATAATCATGATCATAAACCCAGGATTGCCACTGATCTCGAGACCGTCGCCGAGGCACGCACGAATGGGCCGATGCTACGGGTATGCCATGCCTGGTTACTTCAAGAAATAATGTACAGGCACCGACCACTCGCATATAATGAAACTTTGGAATGCAATTCGGCTACCGAGTGTGTTGCGATAAACGCAGTGAAACGGGCTTCAAAACAGGTCGTAATCAAAATAGACAGGGGAAGATTAATGTGCGTGATAGATAATTAACAAGAGATACCGTTGAAACTGAGATGGAACCTAGAGAATTCGAACCGTTTCAGAAAAGCTTGAGAAAGGTGGCTGGATGAAGAATGAAAATAGACGGATTGTGAAGGTACTCAATGTGCCCAAGCGACAGGCATGTGCAGCATACACGTTTAGAAGACAATCTTGGGTGCAGATTTTTCTAATAGCGTAGATTACATGGTTGATTCAGAGCGAGTAATACTGGATTCAATTGACGGCACAGTCAAGAACTAAGTTTACACAAGTACTGTCATGAGCGAGATGCATGTCCGAAAGCTTGCACGATGTAATGTGCCGTCAGTAGGGTTCAGAGCGAACTGGATTCAATTGACGGCACAGTCAAGAACTAAGTTTACACAAGTACTGTCATGAGCGAGATGCATGTCCGAAAGCTTGGCTTGCGTAATGTGCCGTCAGTAGGGACATGGTCGTGGAATATTTCGAACATCATTGAATTCCCCGGATGAACACATTCCTTAAAAGTGAAAAAAAGGCCAACGGTAAAATGACTGACTTCGGCTCTTTTATAATTACGAACA